TTAGGTTGTTTCTATATTTTAGCTGTTGTGAGTAATGCTGCAATGAACATAGCTATGCAGATACTGCTTCAAGATCCTATTTTCATTCTTTCGTGTTTATCTCCTCTTCCCAGCACCACTTACTGAAGAGATATACATTCTCTATTGAATATTCTTGGCTCCCTTATCAAATATTAGTTGACCCCTATATTTGAGGGCCTATTTCTGGGCACTCAGTTCTGTTCCATTGGTCTGTGTGTGTTTATTTTTATGTCAGTACCATACTGTTTTGATTACTATAGCTTTGCAGTACAGTTTGAAATCAAGAAATATGCTTCTGACTTTGTTTTTCTCAGGATTGCTTTAGCCATATGGGGTCTTTCTGTAGTTCCACAAAAATTGTAGGTTTATTTTTTCTGTTTCTGTGACAAGTGCCATTGGAATTGTTTTCACTAAAACATTGAATCTATAGATGGCTTTGACTGGTATGGATATTTTAGCAATATTAATTCATCCGATCCAGGAACATGAATATTTTTCTACTTGTTTATGTTTTCTTCAATTTCTTTCATCAGTACCTTATAGTTTTGTACAGATCTTTTGCCTCCTTGGTTAAATTCATCACTAAGAATTTTATTGTTTATGATGCTATTGTGAATGGGATTGTTTTTCTTCTTTCTTTTTTAGATGTTTTGTTCTTAGTGCATATAAATGCAACTGATTTCTGTATGTTTTGTGTCCTGCAACTTTACTGAATTCATTGATTAGTTTAACCGTTTTCTTGTATAGTCTTTAGGATTTTCTATATATAAGATCATATCATCTGAAAACAATTTTACTTCTTCGTTTCCAATTTGGATGCCATTTATTTATTTATTCATTCATTCATTTTCCTTTCCTGATTACTCTGGTTAGAACTTCCTGTACTATGTTAAATTAGAGTGGTGAGACTGGGCACCCTTGACTTGTTGTTCTTGATCTTAAAGGAAAGTCAATCTTTCAACATTAAGTATGATATTGTCTTGAATGGTCTTTGTGATGTTGAGCTGTGTTACTTCTATACCAAATTTGTTGAGCATTTTTATTGTAAAAGGTGTGCGTATTTTATCAGATACGTTTTCTGCATCTGTTGAGATTATCATGATTTTTATCTTTCATTGTATTGATGTGGTATATCACAAATGATTTACAAATGTTGAACCATCCTTGCATCCCAGGGATAAATCCCACTTTGTTATGGTATATAATCCTTTTAATGGTTCTTGAATTCTGTTTGCCACTATTTTGTTGAGTTTTGCAACTATATTCATCAGGGATATTAGCCCATGGTTTTCTTTTCTTGTATTGTCCTTATCTGACTTGACATCAGGGTAATGCCGGCCTCCTGTAATGAGTTTGGGAGTGTTCCCTTCTCTCCAATTTTTTGAAAGAGTTGAAGGGGGATTGGTGTTAATTCTTTAAATGGTTGGTAGAATTCACCAGTGAAACCATCTGGTCCGTGGCTTTTTTTTTTTTTTTTTAATCCTCACCTGAGGATATTTTTTTCCATTGCTTTTCAGAGAGAGTGAAAGGGAGGAAGAAAGTAGGGAGGGGGGAGTGGGGAGAGAGAGAAACATCAATGGGAGAGAGACGCATCAACTGGTTGCCTTCTGCTTGTGTCCTGACTGGGGGCAGGGAGGGAACCTGTAACCCAGGTAAGTGCCCTCAGCTGGGGATCGAACCCTCGACCCTTTGGTGCATGGGCTAGTGCTCTACTCACTGAACCACACTGGCTAGGTATGGTCCATGGCTCTTTTGTGTTGAGAGGTTTTTGATTACTGGTTCAGTATCCTTAGTTGTTATTAGTGTGTTCAGATTTTTTATTTTATCATAACTCAGTAGGTTGTATCCATTTTTTCTAGGTTATCCAATTTGTTGGCATGTAATTATTTATAGTAGTCTGTTGTTGTTTGTATTTCTGTGATATCAGTTGTAATGTCTCTTTCTGATTTTATTTGCATCTTTCCTTTTTTCTTAGTCAAGCTAAAGATTCATCAATTTTGTTTTTCTTTTCAATAAACCATCTATTAGATTCTTAGTCTGTTCTAGTGTTCTTCTGGTCTTTATTTTATTTATTTCTGCTCTGATCTTTATTATTTTCTTTCTTATGCTAACTTTGGCCTTTGTTCTTTTTCTAGTTACTTGAGGTGTGAAGTTAGGTTTGAGGTATTTCTTATTCCTTACTGTAGGCATTTATCCCTATAAACTTTCCGTTTAGAACCACTTTTGCAGTATCCTATAGGTTTTGATATATTGTGTTTCCATTTCCATTTTTTTGAAAATATGTTTTGATTTCCACTTGGTTTCCCCTTTAACCATTAATTATTCAGAAGTGTGTTAATTTCCACATATTTTGAAATTTCCAGCTTTCCTCCTATTATTGATTTCTAGTTTCTTACCATTGTGGTTTGAAAAAGATACTTGGTATAATTTCAGTCTTCTTAAATTTGGTAAGAATTCTTTGTGACTTATATGATCTATCCTGGAGAATGTTCATGTGTGCCTGAGAAGAATGTATTCTGCTGTGATTGGCTGGAATGTTCCATATATGTCTGTTAGTTCCATTTGATATGCAGTATGTTCCAAGTCCAGTGTTTCTTTATTTTTCTGTTGGATGATCTGTCCAGTGTTGAAAATGGTTTATTGAGGTCCCCTATTACTATATTGCTGTCTGTTTCTCCCTCTAGATCTGTTAGTATTTGCTTAATATATTTAGGTGCTCCAATGTTGGTTTCATATATATTTACAATTGTTAATATCTTCTTGATGACCCCTTTATCATTATAGTGTAATGACTTTCTTTGTCTCTTGTTTCCATGTTGGCTTGGTCTGTTTTGTCTGAGATAGTTACTCCTGATCTCTTTTGGTTTCCACTTGCATAAAATACCCTATTCCATCCTTCGCTTTGAGCCTATATGTATCCTTAAATCTGAAGTGAGTCTCTTGTAGACAGCATATGGTTGGTTCTTATTTTTTTATCCATTCAGTCACTCTGTGCCTTTTGATTGGAGACTTCAATCCATTTAAATTTAGAATAATATTTGGGTTTACCAATGCCATCTTATTCATTGTTTTTTGTCTATTTTGTAGTTCCCTTTTTCCTTTTTTCCTCTCTTGCTGCCTTCCTTTGCGAATTGATGGTTATGCACAGCGGTATGCTTTGATTCCTTTCTTTTATAGCTTGTGAATCTATTTTAGGTTTTTGTTTTGTGATTACCATAATGCTTATATAAAACTTCATATATATATAAAATAGTCTCTTTTACACTAACAGTATATTTTAGTCACAAACAACATATTTTTGGTCACAAACAATATATTTTTACTTACTCCCCTTTTATGTTTTTTTTTTTTTAAATATATCTTTATTGATTTCAGAGAGAGGAAAGGAGAGGAAGAGAGAGATAGAAACATCAATGATGAGAGAGTCATTGATCGGCTGCGAGCCCACAACCCGGGCATGTGCCCTGACCGGAAATCGAACCCCGATCTCCTGGATCCTAGGTCAACACTCAACCGCTGAGCCATGCTCAGCCGGGCCCCCTTTTATGTTTTTGATGTCAGCATTAACATCTTTATATATTGTGTACCCATTAAATTGTTTTAGCTAGTCCTGTTTTTAATGTATTTGTCTTTTAACTTTTATACTAGAGTTAAGTAGTTAACACACAACCCTAATATAGTATTTGTGTATTCTGAACCTGCTTATCTTTACCATTTTTTGTGTGTATATTTTTATTTTAGTCATTAGCAGCCTTTCATTTCAGCTTTAAAAACTCCTTTCAGCATTTCTTGTAAGGCAGAATAACCTCAGATTTGTTTTTTTAGGGAAAGTTTTTATCTTGCCTTCATTTCTGAAAGATACCTTAATTGGCCAGGCATTCTTGATTAGCATTGTATTTCTTTCAACACTTGGAATATATCATCACATTCTCTTCTGGCTTGCATTGTTGCTGAGATATTCTCTGATAGCCTTATGAAATTCTCCTGTATGAGTAAAATTTTCTTCTCTTGCTGCTTTTTAAATTCTCTTTGCCTTTGATTTTAGACAGTTTTATTAAAATGTGTTTTGAAGAAAATCTTTTCGGATTGCAATTTTGAGGTCACCTATATTAGCTTCAACTTGGATGTAAAAATCTCTCCCCACTTTTGGGAAGTTTTCAGGCAGCATTTGTAAGCTGTAGGAGGGGCAGGAATTGAGCTGGGCCTCAGAATTACTGACCAGGCCTGAAATATTGGCAGAATTCTCCATCTCCCATTCCTAATCTCTGTAGAACTCCTTTCTCTAAATAGGGAGAATATGTTATTCCCAACAGGTTTTACTTCTAGCCACTGCAAAGTTAAACATAATGATCATTCTGGTCCATGTTCAAAAAGCTTGTGGATGGGAATAATGGGTGTGGCATGAGTTACTTGCTCTTTCATGGGCTGTTTATTATGTAGAGGGTAGAATACCATGATACGCTTATGTTAAGCAGGTACTGATCTCTGGACAAGTCAACTAAATATTTATACTAACCATGTGGATGGTTGAAGTTCCTTAGTAAAAGGGCACTAGGCAAACAACCACATGTAGTCTTTACTATACTAGGACATTGAGATTCCATGGTTTTCATCTTGTGCTTGCTGTGTGAGCCCCCAGAGTCCTTGTCAGTCCACGGTAAAACCAGCTTCCATAAATACCTCTCACTTATTCACCTACAAAACTTGTATTGTTAATCATACATAAGCACAAACATTTCCTTAGAGAACAAATGCTTTGTGCATTAGGAATAAAATAATAGATGGGACTTTTCCTGATGTGTCGACCTAACTAAGTGTTCAATATCTTATATAATGTATTTTAAAATAGTTTCTTACTCCAAAATGACTGACTTCTCACTATTAGAAAGACAATCTTGGGACTTTGGTTTACCCACCATTTATGTGAAAGTTTGTCTTACTCTGTCAAGTAATGGTTTTATTTTTACTTTCTATTCCAGTGAAGAGGTAGATTTAGAACTTCCAAGCACTGAAAATGAATGTGTATCAACTTCAGAAGCTGATGTTGGTGGGGAACCCAAAGTGGTTTTTAAGGAAAAAACAGTCACTTCTCTTGGAGTCATGGCAGATGGAGTGGCCCCAGTATTCAAAAAGAGAAGAATTGAAAATGGAAAATCTAGAAATTTGAGACAACGAGGCGATGATCAATAATTGGAAAAGAGCATTTTGAACATTCTTAAAAGCTTCTCTGTGTTATTTCTAAATACTTTAATGCTAAAAATTTAGATTTATTCTAAATGTATTTTATGTGAATTTAAAATAAATCTTTTTTCATGTGAAATTTATTTTTGTTCCTAAAATGGAAGCCTACCACATTGCATTGTATTACAGTGTATTATGTTCAGTGTCTAAAAAATGCTAATTGTCATAAGATGCTATGTATCTGTTTTTTAAAACCTGGAAAAGCAAGACCTTTATTCCATTCTTACTCATATGAACATTCTTATCCTGCACTAAAAATGCATTACTTTCATACACTGATATTAACTGTTATCCAAGAAGTAAGAATCAGACCACATAAGAGAAGATTCACAGCCCACTGACAGATTCAGTTCTTAGAATCCTGTCAAAGGCTAATGTAGGAAGTATATGCATATTGGCTTATGTCACTCAATTTAAGGTCAAGGACCAAAAACAAGGACAGCAGCTCAGGTAGAGTGCAAATGGGACCGGGGGCACAAATGACTGTTTGCCCAGTTTAGTTCAAGGCAACAACCGTTGCTTAAGCACTTTCACTTTGAGCTAGGTATTGATGTTAGGAACTGGGAATATGAAAGCAAGGCATATCCCTATTCACAACTTCACATTCTTCCGTAGTCATTTCCCCCCAGTCATGCACTCTGTTTAGCAGCCTTATTTATATATACTGGAAAATCTTTTTTAAGGTTTATTTAAAACTCTGTAGATGAAGGCTTGAACAAAAATAGTAAGGTCTCAGGCTTCAGTAAAAGTTTTTAGTGTTCCCTTCCTTACACAAATTAGAAATTTGTTTTCTGGTTAAATTTCTTAAATTTATTTTAAGTATTCTTAAAAAAGTGGACCATTCTTATTTAATCAATTTGAAGTAGATACTTTCTCTTTATTACTCCAAATTCTTAAAATTCTATTTTTTATAAATTGTACAGTATTTAACGTTTGTAGTAAATATTTGTCTTTTTAAGGTTACTTGTGTACATGTAAGAAAATGATAGCTTATTAAAAACTTTATGAAAGAGTAAATTAAAATTGGGGTGTTTTTGTTGTTTTTCTAATACATATCAGAGTCAACTTAGCATTGGAGAGAGTATTTGGAGGTTTGTTTTTCCATTTGTTTAATTTACTTATTTGGGTATTTAATGAATGTATAAAGAAGTATTTTAGGTTCTCTATAGCCCATTTGTCATCTAGCTAAGTAATGTATTTTGTTCCTTGATTCCTCAGTTGGAAAAGATGGTAAGACTGTAAATAGAATGCTGCTATATTTTACTCACATTTAGTTTATACAAAGTACACAATTGAAAACATTTTTAAAACCACACCTCACTGTGTAAAGTGTTTCTCTTTATTGCATTCTTTTTATTTACTTATTTTTTATTGTCCTCACCTGAGGATATGTTTATTGATTTGGGAGACAGAGAGAGAAAGAGAAACATTGATCAGTTGCCTCTCATACCTGCCCTGACCAGGGATCAAGCCCACAACCTAGGAATGTATCCTGACTGGGAATCAAACCTGCAACCTTTCCTTGTGCCAGGCAGTGCTCCAACCAACTGAGCCGCCCAGCCAAGGCTCTTTGATGCATTCTTTAAACTTACTCTTTTACCTTTGTAATAAGGCAGTATTAGAAGTTTGAAGGTAAATCTCCTTAAACTGATTTTAAAGGTTGCTCAGAAAAGACTTAACAAAAATTTTAGTAAATTGAATAGTAAAAAATAGTACTTTCCTATTTGCTTTGAAGGAGTAAGAAAACCTATCAACTTACATAGATTTTTTTCAGAAGTTAAACGTTTGGTATGGTCATTTCTCCCTTAATTTTTCTATTTTATATATCTATATTTGTATATAGATATAGGTGGGAGGTTATAAAAGTTATATATTTTTATTATAAATATAAAAATACAGATAATAGCAAAATAAGTTTCAAAGTCCCAGTAATCTCCGACTCCCTTCCCCCGTGACCACCATGGGGATTTTTGTTTGGTTTTTCCTAAGGATGTTAACAATGGCAGTATGTGGGCAACCATTATGACACTTGGATCTATGAAGTCTGCTCTCTGGATGAAACATTCAAAGCATGATCCAAATAGCCAAAAGTGATTTTTGTTTTTTAATGCAGTTTTTATAAATTCTGAAAACTATACTGGGGGAACAACTCTACCTGATTTTTAAGTATTGAGAAACTAATCATTAGAATAGTACGGTACTTGTTTATATAGGCATACCTAATACACAAGCTAGAATCTATTTCTGGTTGTCTCTGTGCCATTACCACACTAATCTCACTATTGTGCTTTTATATTTTAATACCTGGTAAAGCAGATATCCTCATACTATCTTTCCATATCCATTATTCAAGTAACATTTTGCCATGTTGACACCTCTGCCTTCCCCCAAAAAGGCTGATTTCATGCTACACCTGCTGAGTTAGTAATAACTGCCCTCTTTCTAATAACGAGTCTGTCAACAGTGTCTTTCATTTAGTTCTTTTATGTCTCTCTAAATTTTGTCGTTTTCTCCCTATGGGCCCTACACATTTATTGAAATGTAAGCTTCCTTAAGGCAAGGGCTTTGTCTCTTTTGTTCACGTACCATAAGTACATGGCATGTCAGAAGCACTTCATATTTGTTTAGTAAATGAATGAAATCAAGAAAAATAAAAAAAGGAAATTTAGATAAATGTACAATCGGAAGACATTTTTCACCAATCAGATTACCAAAGATCAAGTAATTTGTTAATGTTTGTGAAGATGTGAGAGAATAGGTGGCATTATAACTGCTAAGTATATGCTTTCGATCTTTTTTTATGTTTTGGTATCTTAAGCGCTTGCTGGCCAGAGCTATCCCTGTCTTAGCTACCCCTTTTCAGGGATATCCCTGTCTTTTTTTTTTTTTTTTTTTTCAAGGGCTTATTTATTTATTTTTTTCTTTTCTCAAGATGGATAAGAGAAACCTATTTTCTAGCATGGTCTCACAAGCATATATTTTTAAGTCTTCTTAAAAATTGACTACTTAGCTCTTTCAAATCTGGCACCAAAGGTTTTGGCTCCTACTTTCTTCCTGTTACTACTTTGGCTGTATTCTCAGCTGTCGCGGGGATGCTCTTAGGTCCCAAAAGATGTAGGCCTCCTCCCTTCCCCCTCACCCCAAACATGTACTGAGAGCTTGCTAGGGCCAAGCACTCTTCTAGGATTACTAGAAATATAACGGCAAACACAAAATTTGCTGCTTGCATGGAGCTTCCGTGAATGTGTGTGTGTATGTGTGTGTATAATAAAGCATAAACTATATAGACTATTACAAGCGGATAAATGCTGTAAAGAAATATAAAGCAGCCTGGCCTGTGTGGCTCAGTGGTTGAGTGTGGACCCATGAACCAGGAGGTCAAGGTTGGATTCAGGGTCTGGGCACATGCCTGGAGTGCAGCTGGATTCCCAGTAGGGGGCGTGCAGGAGGCAGCCGATCCATGACTCACTCATCACTGACGCTTCTCTCTCTCCCTCTCCCTTCCTCTCTCTGAAAACAATAGAAACATATTTTAGATAAATAAATAAATAAAAAAGAAATACAAAGCTGAGAAACAGAATAGAGGGTGTTCTGTGTATACGAATTACAGTTTTATGGTCGGGGAGCTGCACTGTAAGAGAACTTGGCACAGGGGATTGGCACCTTAAGCAAATTTAGGAGGCTTAACAAAT